GAGTAAAATTTTCTTCGAACCAGGTCGCGTACGTCGACGGAAGGTCTGGAAAAGAACTCTCTATAAGTAATCCTGTAATTAATATCGATTCGTATAATGGCATTCCTTGTGATGTGCAGGCTCTTGTCGACACGGGTAGTCCGGTCTCCTTTATCTTGCTTTCTGCTTTTAAAAATTTTCACGGTCAGAATGCTCAACCTGATAATTTCATTGACGAGTCTCTCCGCTCCTTGTCCGGTGATAAAATTGATATAATCGGAACGAGCAATTCGATAATTGGTTTGCCCGTTTTGTCTAACATTGATTTTAAGGTTAAACTTCATGTAGTAAACATCGAGTCTTGATCCCAACATCTAATCTTGGGTCGAGATTTTCTCGTAAATAATGGTTTGTCTCTCGCGTATGATCCGACTCACGATAGTCATCTCGAAAGAGTAAAGCTCTTCGATGAAGTGGCTTCCACCGAGATTTGTAAAGTTGATGAACCAAGCTCTCATGAAATAAAAACGGATTTTGGACGATAGGTCGATAGGGTTTGTCCTTGTCGATAGGAAGTTGCACAAAGTTTTTGAAGAGATATCTAATGCTCCGGTAGCGACCGTCAATGAGGAGCATTCGGTTAAGGTTTCGCTTAAAGACGAATCCATCTTCGCTTACGCGCCGCGTCGATTCGCCCATTCCGAGCGAATACAATTGCGTGAAATAGTCGACGATCTTCTCAAACAAAAAATCGTAAAACCGAGTTGCTCGCCGTACTGCGCACGAGTAGTGCTAGTCCGCAAAAAGAACGGTCTTCCGCGTTTATGTGTCGATCTCCGTCCACTAAACGACCGCGTTATCAAGCAAAAATTTCCGTTTCCACATATAGAGGATTACCTCGCACGTCTAGGAAACAAGAAAATATTTACCTTGCTCGATTTAAAGGTTCCATCTCATCAAGATCCACCCGGATCATACCAAATATTTTTCCTTTGCCACTCCAGACGGGCAATACGAGTACCTCCGCTTGCCTTTTGGTTACTGTGAAGCACCAGCCGAGTTCCAGAAGCGCCTGAACTATATTTTGCAGCCTTTGATCCAATCGGACAAAGTTCTCGTCTATATAGACGATATATTGGTTCCGTCCGAGACGGTAGAGGAAAATTTGGTAATCTTGCATCAAGTATCACTTACGCTCTTGAAGCAGCATCAATTGAAGTTAAACCTCAATTAATGTCATTTTCTAAAAAACAAGGTGGAATATCTGGGATATATTGTTTCCTCGATGGGTATTACGTTAAGTGATCGACATGCGCAAGCGGTGAGAAGTTTTCCGGTCCCAAAAAATATAGTGCAATTGCAGCGATTTCTGGGTCTGACCGGGTTTTTTAGGAAATTTATTCGTGATTATGCCTCCAAGGCTCGTCCGCTGTTTAATCTTCTTAAGAAAAACATCAAGTTTGAATTTAACGATAAGTGCCTAAAAGCATTTGAAACTCTGAAATCTGAATTAACGTCTTATCCTGTGTTGAGGCTCTATCGACCGAATACGCACACTAAGCTGCATACCGACGCGAGCTCAGTAGCCATAGCGGCTATACTCTTGCAACGGCAAGAGTCGGGAGCTCTAGCTCCGGTGGCGTACTTTAGCCAAGCGACTAACGATGCTGAATCGAGGTATCACTCATTCGAGCTGGAGATGCTAGCCATCGTAAAATCCATCGAGCGTTTTCATATTTATCTTGCGGGCGTTAATTTTAAAATCTTAACGGACTGCAACGCCATAGTGCATGCGGTGAATAAGGCGAATATCAATCCGCGCATCATCCGATGGATTCTGCGCTTGCAAAACTATACGTTCAAAATAGAACATCGTAGCGGCTCAAGGATGACTCACGTCGATGCCTTGAGTCGTGTCGTCGGATCAATAGAATCTATGCCTATGGAAAAAGAACTCCAGTACCGTCAGTTGTCAGACCCACAAATCAACGCTCTAGCACAAGAGCTCGAGAAGAAGTAGCACGACAAATTTGTGCTAATCGAGGGCCTTGTATATCGCAAGGATCCTGTTCGCCCTAAGTTTGTTGTACCGGAGGCAATGACTACAAATTTATTACGCATTTATCACGATGAATCGGCTCACTGCGGTCTAGAAAAAACGTATCAGGGTTTGTCCGGTCAGTATTGGTTTCCGTCCATGCGGCGTAAAGCTCGCGTTTACATAGACAATTGTCTAGTCTGCCTATTGGCAAATACCTCGAATTGTACAAGGGAAGGCGACCTGCAAATAACCCCGACCTCGGACGTACCATTTAAGGTGCTTCACACCGACCATTTCGGTCCGCTTACAGAATCCAGAAACGGATTCAAACATATATTGCTACTGGTTGATTCCTGCACACGGTTTACGTGGCTTTTCCCAGTTAAGACAACCAGTTCGCGCAAAGTAATAAACTCTTTCGCCCCATTATTTGATATTTTTGGCAATCCTTCCGAGTTGATATCAGACCTGGTACAGCGTTTACGTCCCAGGAGTTTGCAGATTTCCTTCTTACTCGTAACATACAGCATCACCTAATAGCCGTGGCGGCCCCATGGGCCAATGGCATGGTCGAGAGAGCAAACCGCTTCCTTAAATCTTCTCTCAAAAAAAAACGGTGAAAGTTTTCCGGAATGGCCAAACGCTATCGCAACCATTCAGTACGTCTTTAATAATACGTTTCACGCGTCAATTAAATCGACCCCATCCAAGTTGCTGCTAGGCTACGACCAGCGCAACCATAGCGATAGCAAGCTCGTAGAGTTTCTAACAAAGTTGCATAAGGCTGAATTCTCTTTGTCAGAGGAAAGGGAATCTAGTCGTCAGGTAGCATTAGACGCGACTAATAAAGTGAAAGAATATAACAAAGTATATTACGATAAGCGTCATAAGATCCCGTCCGCGTACAACGCCGGCGATTTTGTCCTAGTGCGTGATACCACGGTTAAGCCCGGCGAAGACAAGAAAATAAAACCCGTTTATAAGGGACCATACCTAGTGGATAGGGTATTGGAAAAAAATCGTTTCGTAATAAAGGATATTCCTGGCTTTAACAGGGTTTCTCGACCGTACAACTCTATTTTGTCGCCCGATCGGCTCAAACCATGGATCAGGCCGGCAACACCCTGACATGCGTTAAACTCTGCGTTATGTTCGTTGCGTTCAAATTATAATTAATCCTAAGTGTTCATTGCGTTCAAATTATAATTAATCCTAAGTGTTTATTGCGTTCAAATTATATCTTAAGTACTCACTGCGTTCAAACTATATTTAATTCTAAGTAGTCATGGCGATTAAATTGCGTTAGTCTCAAGTATTCGCGAAGGCGCGGGAATCGTGTCGTATATTGCTCAACTTAATATTATTCAAACGTACAAATAACCACATTCGGGACGAATGTCTTTCGCAAAATGGCCGAACTGTAAGAAAACGCCAGGAATCGTCAGTCTGGCTAGTGATATTTCCCGCTAGGGGATATCTAGTCTTAAGTTGGTAACAGATGGCGCGTCTGTTCCGCGCCACCTAGTCCTGACCCCGTGACCACTCAGCGATTGGCGGAGCCGAAAGGCGACTCTGATTGGCGCTCAAAAGCGATCGTCAGGATGCCGTCGCTACGGGAAGACGGCAGCGAAGTCTTTTGTCTGAAGTCGATGTAAGATATTGTACGCCATGTCTCGTGGCATGGCCCCGGTTGTTACTGTCGAATAAAAGAGTGTTAAGTGAAATTGCCTTTACTGTGAGTCTTCCCCAAATATCTCCCGTGTCCTTCCTGATTTCTCTAACCCCCCAACTGCCACCCTGCCGCGGTAAAATTCTCCAACCGCTCACTTTTCACATTAGTCACTACTCCCAATTGAGGAGATTTTAATTAGACTTTTCTGTGCTTGCCTCCAATAAAATGCTTATCGCCACTCCGTTCTTGACTATCCTTTCGCTTATTTATTATTACTGTAAAGAAAAACAGCTCACAAAGTATATTTTCCTATTTTCTTATTATCAAATGATAGTAATTTTACTTTTTCAAAACTACAACTTATTTGATATACTGAAAGCTTCAATCCGCTTCCTTCGATCCAATTAATTTTTGGAATATTTCGGAAATTTTAAAACTTTTTTTTCCGTTTTACTCCACCAGCCGATGGATTATAGCGCCTTTAACCTTTTTGCAAGGTTATATTGTAACCGGACTTTATCCTATGATTTTAATATGACCGTATTCTTTCTATATCTATTCCCGAATTAGTAATTTAATCGGTATCGGACCTCTTCCTCGAAGAGCCTTATCGTCAGCGTAATATACTAACGCCCGCAAAGTCCTTGGTTCCGTCAATAACCGTTAATTTCTTCAGAACTTTCTTCAGAATTTCAGCAACACCGGATTATTATCATAAATGGTTTGTCGAATTACCTTTTCCTTTAGGTACTTACTCGATCGCCACTTCGTTTATCCTCCAACGAAGAAGGTCTGAGATACAGCAACTACCACCGATGTCCTCTCTCTCTGGCTCGGCGCTTATTCGTGTAGGCTGCTTTTGAAGTTCTCGCCCCGGAAATATTTGTGATACGACCGCATGCAGGTACGTAGCGGGAAATAGTGTGGGTGCGCTTATTAAAGTCTTTTTGCTTTAGTTTAATATTGTTTATTATAATAGTTAAATGTCACATGCGCACTCTTCACACATTCACTCGATTCTCACTCGCTCGTAAGTCGTAATCGGGTTACGCGCAACGCGATAACGCGGTCGCGTCTCCGTCGCGTACGGTGCTGCGAAAAGTCGTCGGTCAAATCCCGCAACCGTTTTATGACGCAACGAATAGGTTGGCATCCCGTTTTCCGAAAGCGCGGAACGTCGTCGGCCGATCCGCGTCGCGTACTTCCGAATTCGCCGAAAACAAAGTCGTATCAATAGAGAATACACGCTATGCAACTTGTGCATTCACCCTATGCGTATTTCTGGCGAGAAATTATTTAATTCGCGTTCACTCGCGACTAATACGTTACGCGGTATTACTTCTTCGCGCACGGGACTATCCTTTCCTTCGGAGCTCGCAACGGCGTCTCCGATTTCGTAACGGCGAGGAAAGAACTTGCTGTTGCCGGGCGAACGGCTTATATACCCAGTGAGAAGGCTGATGTCGAATCGACGTCGTTTCGATGTCGATGTCATCGAAAACTCATCGAATCGAAATTGACATCGAAAATCAGGCCATTTCGATCAAATTGTTTTGACATCAAAAATACTTGTTTCCAAGTTACCAATGTCCAAAACCCAAAATTAGTCTAAAATTAAAAGTTAATCATGCCTATATACCCAGTGAGAAATAATTGGTCGAAAAGACGTCGAATCGACCCAAACGACCCAGTGAGAAATGGTTTTCAATTCGAATCGATGTTGAATTGATGTCGAAATCATCATATTGAATTGTTGATCATTTCTCACTGGGAAGAACAGAAAAGTCAAAATAATATCAATTTGACGTCAACTTGACCGAATTTACGTA